AAAAAAAACTAAGGTTATTCACTCGACACATAATTTGGTCGACAAAATCATCGGGCTCAGAACAATCTGAGTAAGGGTTTACGACTAGGACCACCGGTGTTATTCGCGCCGTTTCTCTGACCAGTTGCGCCGTGACCTCCTCCCCCTGATGTTGACAAGAGTTTTTCGATATCATTTAAAGAAGCTCGAGCTTTTGGAAATTGGTTTTGGATATTGATCAAAGTTCATTGCTTGAACCATATGTTATCGCAGGAGCGATTGATTATATCTTCGCCAATTGAGAAGTGAGGGAAATTTAGAGTGAAAGTAACTGATTTTGGAATCTTCAATCAAAACATTTGACGTCCAAAGGTTGAAATTGAACTGCTACCTGGACTCACTTTAAAGGCAATTTCAATGAAATCGCATTGTTGAAACTTATTGTTGCCGCTCAATTTCATTACAACCCTTGTGTTCTCCATAAAATGAGCAAGAACTTACCTCCGAATATCGGCGGTATTTTTATTTCAACTGAAAAAAAATCATACGTCAAAATTTTCAAGCATATTACTCTTGACGTTTTTGATTTCATAACCTTCAACCAAATTACATTTGACGTTTCAAGGGTAGGAATTCAACTGACAGCTGGATTCATTTTTGAGTGCAATTTCAATGAAATCGCGTTGTTGAACTTTATTGTTGCCGCTCAATTCCATTTCAATTCATGAGTTCTCTATGAAATGAGTAAGAACTTACTTTTGAAGACCTGCGGTGCGTTAGGGCCTAGATCTGAAAAAAATCATATTTCAGAATCTTCAAAATCATCAAAAATATTACATTTGAGGTTTCATTGGCAGGAATTGAACTGACCCCTGAATTGAGTTCAGACTACATTTTCATTGAACTCGCGTTATGGCCGTTTGATTCCGTTAAAATTCATGATTTCTCTGAAAAATAAACTTACTTTTGTGAACCCGCGTTGCTTCTGCGCCATCACCTGAAAAAATCTTTTAAATTAATAATTAAGAAATGATAATGACTCAGTGAATGATGATATTCCTATACTGAAAGGCTATAATCATTAACAATGAGTTGCGGAGATTCTGCGCAATAATCCCCTCGTGTTTCATCCTCGCAACGCTGAATGACGGATGCTTCATATTTGTAGCCTCGCTGTTCCAAAGCCACACTCGAATGAATGTGCATCCCTCTAAGCGTCAACTTCATCGTTTGAATCAATTTCAAATTCATGCAATTTATGCGTAAGTAACGTGAGAACCAATTAACTCACCATTCGGAAGCCACCACGAGGGTTGTGCCAAACAAACTTGTGCAGATAGCAACATTACCACAGCGAACATGAACCACAATTTGGCCATCTTCTCGGAATATTTTGTGCAAAATTCCTGGAATAACCACCAACCCAGCTAATCGTCACGAAACGCTGCTAGTGACAACGACGCGATGGGACTTACCAATCATGACTGCTTTTATAAGTCTAATTTTATCCTCTCAGAGCTATTAGCTATCACACCTTCAGATAAAAATATTTGATTTTCGAGTGCTTTCAGAACATGGTACAGCTGGATTTTGACTCTTTCTCCTGCTTGGTTAGAAGTGGGGCAGGATGGCGAGTAACTGAAATGGCAACGCCATGTATTCAAGATCGCGGGACCAACCCAAGTGTGGAAAGCAGTCAACTAATTGTAAGGTACTAGCGATAACTGGAGTGAGCTTGAAGTTGATCGTTGGCTAAAAGCACACTACTTAGCTCAAATCAATCATTCATTCAGTCAATCATTGAGACAATCGATAGACATTCGAATTGAATCCAATATCAATGGAAATAGCAAAGTTATAAGCAACAGAATGATCTTTTTTGACCATGCTTGATCGATGGTGGATGCCTGATCATGGATGCCTGTTTAGGTTTTTTTTCTGTCTTTCTTGCGATCATTTCGGTGACTGGTGGGTTTCTTCTTCAATTCAAACTTCCTTGCAACTAAATGAACAAACATCTGCTTGGTCGATGCACATTTAGAAAGTGTTCACATGAACAGGACATAAGACCTATGGTATTTACTCATTTTAGCTAGCCAATATTTCGGTTAATCGCCACCTCAGACTGAGATACCGACTGAACCATTTATTCTCCCTCTCAACTACAACCAGAATTTGACAGCCAATTGCAAGCGAGAGAAGAGCGGATTGTATTGAATTCATCATTCTGTTTCGCTAAAATCACCTAATCTGACTATTATTTCCTCTCACCGCTAGGGGGTGTTTGCCTCAGTGGAGAAGCAAACCACTGTGACACGGTCGGCGTTTCGACGTTGTGTGACATTTTCAGAAAAAATTGTCGTCGATGAGCAATGACTGCAAGGAACATTGCCCTATATACAGATGGTTGACTACGTCTATAGACTTGATTTGCATATTCCCATTATCTGATACCCGTGCCACATTAAAACGCAAAGTGCAAAACAGTTTAAAGTGTGACGCTTTGAGCCAGACAGAAAATGCATCATGAATTTGGAGTGAAAATCGGTGAAATAGCTGAAAAAATGTAAAAAAGTAGAGAAATGAACAGGTGGCCAAATCATCTAATTCTCAATTTCATTGCCTAATAATTCTTTACTATTATGACTTTCCCAAATTCTTCATTCAGTTCTCATCATTAAAAATTTCATTTCATTCCTCTTGTTGTGATCAGAAACCATTCAGTGAATTTTTTAGTTCGACCAAATTCACGAATAATTTCCCAATTGAATCCAATTTTCATCAGAACGCGTGAAAATACGATGTCAGCCAACATGATGAGAAACTTACGAAATACTTATGAACACATCATACTAACTTTTGTTCAGGCACAGTGTCATGAATGATATTATTCACGATACCTTACGATTGATTTTTCGTTGTAGCATCTATATTTCATCGAAACTTTTCATCTTTTGTACGAATAAAGAGAGAATTTATAAATTTCAACGTCTATATCACGTCATTCATGTATCATCATTTATTTTTACATCAAGGCTTTAAGCTTAACAAATATAATAACGCTAAACTTGTTGC